TTCTCCCATCCCTTCACCCAGTATCCTCTCCTGGCCCCTCTTTTCTGGCTCATCTCATTGAATTTTCATTCCCAATGGATTGTTCCTTTTGGATACTTATTTCTCAGTACCCAAATCTCACTAAATATTCTTAGCTGTTGGGGTTTGAATTTATTCCTGCACTCACACGTGATTCAATGGTAATTTAGAAGGAATTCTGCAGTTCATAGGCAACCTGGTTAAGGTTGGTTTTCCAGAATTATTCTGGCGCAAGATTCCCTCTGTGGATAAACAGAGATGACAAACAGAAGATGATGCTGAATAAATCCATGAAACACACAGAGAAAATAGAAAAATCAGCCATTGTGCAGATTCTAACCCCTCCCCTCATTCCACCTAAACAAATCCACTTACCTGCTGTTCTCTTGGGATTTTCGTTGCGTTTCTTTCTCTGTATATGAAATTTTACCTTTAAAATGTAGGTGGACCTCGAATGTTTTCTCCCTTTTGACATGCTTTAAAAACCTTGTGCATCAGCTGTCACTCCTTTATACATTTATACCATTTTACTTGTAAATCCAGTTAATGTGGAAAATCTCCCTTTTCAGTTGTCACCTGTAGCTCTGTAGATGGTGTAGAGTCAGATGAACAAAAGCCATTTTTCCCAATAATTTTTCCCAACAATGCTGCATGGAATATTTCACACTATCCCATGGCAGCTGAAAAAGAAAATATTTTATCTTGTTTATCATCTGCTGGTACCATCTAGGAAGTCAGAATTTGTGAAACTGGCAAATATCAGTGAGGCCAAGTCTGGTTTGATTGCAGCTTGTGGGACAATTTGAAAACTTTTGATGGAAATCCTGCCCAAATTGATTCCTGGGAGTGGCTACACAGAGAGCAGAGCTGCCTGGCAGGGGTATGATAATTATATTTCTGTATTTGTGCCAATTGGTTCCCCTGGATAAAAATTACTCTTTTCCTTCTCGCACCACTGGGTGAAATTTTGGGTCCTGAGTAGTTTCTCCATACAGGAGTGTAGTGCAGTGTGGGCACAGCTGTGTTTCTCTCTGGTTCTCCATGCTCATGGTTTCAAATAAATAAATGAGGTTAAATTACACCAGGATTAAAACACTCTGTGAAAAATAAGGATGAGCAGGGCATGGGGGCAGGTCTGATTTTCCACAAACACTTAAATAGTGAGTTCTGGCAAATCTCTGGCAATTTGTGCATTGATATTCCTCATGTTTACAGCCCAGTGGAGCAATAGAGGATTTTAGGGGACAGGAATCTCCTGAAGCATCAAGATAAATTTTCTCCCATTTATAAGACACTTATAGTTCCCTATAGTGCAAACAAGCTTGAACATTGCAGCTTGCAGGGGAGAATTCCACCACCTTCCTGCCTCCAAGTGATGTTTCTATCAGGAATCCTGGCTGTGTGTCCTTAGCAAGAGCCAAGCAATGAGGAAGGTTCGCTGCTTCATGCTGCTGTGAGGAAGTGTGAGAAGCTCAGGCTGGTGTGGAGCTTTGGCCAAAGAAATCTGATCTGGGGCTTAAGATCTCCATGGGCTGGGGCTCAGTTCACTGCATGGGAATCTTCCTCCTTATTCTCAGCAGGGTTATCCTGAATTTCTTCTACTGATCCTCAAAAGCCAGATCTCCCTCACCCTGCAGCATGATCTGCCTGAAGTGTTCACAAAAACACCTTTCCATTCAGGACAAGAAATTCAGCACTCCCAGGGGACAAATTGGAACACAGGCACATATCTATGCTGTTGAGATATTTAGGTATGAAAAGATAAAACTGAGATCTAGCTCAGTTCTCAAAATCTTTATGGTGCCTCACTCATGAAATCATTTCATAGGTACCTGGATATCTACATATTAACCTTGAGTGACATCTAAACCTCTTTAAGGTTCTGGTATTTAAATTTCCAGTACTTGCTACTCAACTTATTTCCTATTCTTTGATACTTAAGGCTTGTGGCAATCAATAAAATATCCATTTTCAGGGTCTTTGGTTCCAATGTACCTTCAGTTAAGCACTCAAGGATAGTTCAGAGTTGTTGGGTGCATTTCCACCTACTTGTATGTATAAATATCATTGTAAATTTTTATTTCAAGTACATTGTGAGAGGAGAACTTGGTGCAAAAACTCGCCTGCCAGAAATTTTATTTTGTTTCCAATTGCTTAAACATTGGCATGGCTCTGACAAGGGTTTAAAAAAAGCATTTTGAGCATTGGGATGCAAATTAACATACCAAGCAATTAAAGTCAATTAAAACAGGATGTGGTGTAATTAGAAACAGTTGTGTTCACATTGATATTCAGAGAGGTTCGATGTGTTGAAAGAAAAGAAAACAATCCAGGAAACTTTTAATGCCCCACAGATGTGATGATGATGCTAATAGTGGCACTGATTCCTAAATTCCCCATCCTGCCTCACCTCAGGAGCTCCTGGGGAGGGCGAGAAAAGGGGAATTAATGGCTCTATCCCAGCACAGTGCACTCACCTGCTCAAGTAAAGAGTTCCTCCATTTCTAAGGGTACCTGATCTAAGGGTACATGAGATTATTTCATGTTTGGGATTAAATAGTCTGGAAATCCAATTTCAGTTCATTAATTACAAAAATGTGTCTGAGAATCCTTTCACAGGTCATTCTTTGATGTATCCCTTTCATTTACATAGCAGACAGATACTGGACTCCTCAGTTTAAAACACATATTTTTTGAGGTTGTATTTTTCACCAAATGATTTTTTTTTTCCATTCAGCAGCTGAACTAATTTTGACAGATGTGATGATGATGCTAATAGTGGCACTGATTCCTAAATTCCCCACCTTGCCTCACATCAGGAGCTCCTCGGGAGGGGGAAAAATGAGAATTAGTGACTCTCTCCCAGCACAGTGCACTCACCTGCTGAAGTAAAAGAGAAGCTGGAGCTTTTCAGCCTCAGGGGTTGTGTGATCAATTACCAGCAGTGTCAGTGGGCTCGGGAAGAGGAGATCTTTCCACCTTTCCCACTGCTGCTTCCTTGATGTCCCTTTCACTGTGCTTCTGGATGTCTGTGTTGGTATTTGTTGCCAGAAATACTGAGCCAATGGTGCTTTACTTTTGTCCCCTTTTTGCATGGCAACCAGAGAGCAGGGAGAGCCCTAATTCCTCTAGGGCTGCCCTGATGACCCAAAAATTGGTTAGAGGTTGTGGCTGCAGCCCTGGCTGCTGGGGGATTGCACAGATCCCTGTCCCTGGCCTCCCTTGGCTGCAGAGATGAATGGTGTTGGCTGTTCCTTGATGGAGATGAGGGAGGAAATGCTCCCAACCCAGCCTGGGAAGGAATCTGCCTCTGCCAGATCCCAGGGTTTGCTCAGGTAGAACGTTCCAGGCACCTGGGATGTGCAGGAAGCAGTGGATGTGGATGTGCTGCACAGCAGTGCACAGAAGGAAGGAAATGCAAGGAAATGTTGCAGACTGCAAGGAAAAAAAGGATTGGAAGGAAACACAAGGAAATATTATAGATATTACAACTATTACAGGTGCAAGGCCTTCAGTGCCATCACATGGATGTGTCTGCTGACTGCCCTCTGTTAAATGCAACTTTTGATTTAAAACGAGGAGGATAAAATAGCTAGCAAAGAACTAAATAAATGAAAACCATTAGCTGGCCACTCCATCCTTTCCACCTAATTTAAAGCTCAGAGCAGGACCGTGTCCATCCCATGTGTTTATTTTTTAATTCTCATTAGCTGCTGATCCTTTTTTATTTGAAACCCAAATGTGGAGAGACAAGGTCTATTTGAACTCAGCCAGTCATAGCAGTTTGCATTCCCACTAACAGCTAACAAATGTAAGCACTGGGATAAAACCTCCCATTTTGCATTGAACTGACCTAGGAATTCATCAATTCAGGCTTTTGGGACCTATAGGAATAAAAAGGTGCTCTACATTTCCTGGGAAAGTCAAGTTCCTCCATTTTTGAGGAATGAGGCACATGAGATTGTTTAATGTTTGGTGTTAAATAGTCTGAAAATCCAATTTCAGTTCATTAATTACAAAAATGTGTCTGAGAATCCTTTCACAGGTCATTCTTTGATGTATCCCTTTCATTTACATAGCAGACAGATATTGGACTCCTTTAAATATGTTTAAAACACGTATTTTTTGAGGTTGTATTTTTCACCAAAAGTTGTTTTTCCATTCAGCATCTTAACTAATTTTGACTGGTGCAAGGCAGGTGTAAGAGTAAGAAAGGTGGAAATGGCCTTAGGAAATTATAGAAAGTTAAATTTATAGAGAGGTGGTTGTCACATAAAGACAATATTGACAGTGGCATGGAATTTATAATTTAATCCTCCTCTGAGTTTGAGAAGCCATGTGCTGCTCTCAGGTTTGAGACTGTGAAACAGGACCAATTCTGCTCTATTTTTCCTTTGGAAAATGTGACTTCTTGCAGATTTCCTGTTGCTCCCCAGAGAGAAAAAAAGTGATTTCTGAAAAAAAAAAAAAAAGAAAGCGTAGCCATGTCTGTGAAAACAGCAATTGCTGGGGTTCAGCACCTCAGACATTGTGCCTGAAGGCTCTTTGTAAGAGAAGGGCTCTCTATCAAATCCCAAGGAGATATGGATAGAACTTAACCTTTGGGCTTGATGAAATGCTTATTCCTGAAAGCCAGACATGCAGGCAGAGCAGCCTGAAGGGAAATCACTTCAGTAATTCTGGGGTGGCTGAGAATCCATTGCTTGTATTGTTATAATATACGTAATTAATTACTTGTTAGCATGTGTTTGGGAATAATACACTTACAGAGGACTTCCCAATCTCTATAAAAAGTGCTGACATCTCCCACAGACCCTGAGGAGTTTAGAAGGGAATATGGTTGGAGGACAAAAACGACCTGCACAAAGGCAGCCAAAACACCTTTCCTCCAGCGAACGTGAAAAGAAGGTGGTTTTGCTGCAGCTGGCAGAAAATTCACAGAACTCACAGAATCCTTTTCTGCTGTTTGTTTCCTCCCCCAGGTTGTGTATGTGACAGCCACCTTCCCCTACATCATGCTGATGATCCTCCTGATCCGGGGGGTGACGTTACCCGGCGCTTCCGAGGGCATCAAGTTCTACCTTTACCCCGACATCTCCCGGCTCTCCGACCCACAGGTAGGACCTTGGCTGCACAGCTGTGTGCCTTTCTGGCTGGGAAAAACTGTAGGGGTCCCTTGGGTTGGAAGTCTGAACACAGGTGACTCCTGGGGATCCCTTTGTGGGAATAAATTTGTAAAGAATTCTCACGGCCTGGCAGAAGGTTCACACTGTGTGTCTGTATGCAAACTTTGAGATAAGAAATGCTGACTTAGAAATGCCATGGAATAGGACAGACATTGCTGAGAGAGAATTGGAACTAGAAACAAGTTTCAAAGGATGGCCTTGCAAATAAGACTGGATACTTTGGAGAAATAGAACTGTGAAAGATGCACTGTAGTGGGACCCACAAGGGGTGGTTTTATATTATTTGCTTTAAGGCATTTACAGCATGGCAGAGTAAAAAGCTGATAGCCAAGAAACACTTATAGTGTATTGTAATTAAGAAATAGCTTCTGATTGTGATGGTGTATTGTCTCACCCTTCTCATGAGACTGAAAATGGAATAAAAGCTTTTAAAACACTTCTCAGTTGCCCCATCTCTGGGTCAGAAAAGAGCTCAATCCAACCCTCTTTGCCTGGCCTCTCTTGGCTGCAGAGATGAATGGTGTTGGCTGTTCCTTGATGGAGATGAGGGAGGAAATGCTCCCAACCCAGCCTGGGAAGGAATCTGCCTCTGCCAGATCCCAGGGTTTGCTCAGGTAGAACGTTCCAGGCACCTGGGATGTGCAGGAAGCAGTGGATGTGGATGTGCTGCACAGCAGTGCACAGAAGGAAGGAAATGCAAGGAAATGTTGCAGACTGCAAGGAAAAAAGGATTGGAAGGAAACACAAGGAAATATTATAGATATTACAACTATTACAGGTGCAAGGCCTTCAGTGCCATCACATGGATGTGTCTGCTGACTGCCCTCTGTTAAATGCAACTTTTGATTTAAAACGAGGAGCAAAAAACAGCTGGCAAAGAGCTAAATAAATGAAAGTCACCAGTTCCTCACTGGAGGTGTGGAATTGGGGACGGGGCTGTAAAGCCATGCTGTGTGTTGGAACAGATCAGGTTTTAAATTGGAAAGTATTTTGGTTGATAAATGCTGATGTTCAGAGCCAGTTGCAGTTGGTGCTTCTGCCACTGAGGGACAAGAGCGCTACCACCAGTTTAGTGGAATAAATTTAACTGGGATTTCACCATTTTTTGGTTCTTTGCTCATTCCAAATCTAAATCTCAGGCATAATTAACAGAGAAATTATTCATTCAGATGATTGCTGTCTTTACAGCAGAATATGCAACCAAGGAGGAACAAAGTGCTCAACAGGAAATCTGCCTGTTTTGTTGTTTCTAATGTAGAGCAGAACATGGAAATAATGGATTAAGTTTGGGGTTTGGGGTTTGGTTTGGTTTGTTTTTTGGTTTTTTTTTTTAATTTCCAGTGACAGAGGATTACAATAGAAGAGTTATTGTCCATCATTTGTGTGATATTGAAGGGGGAAAGTGACACAATCTCTATAGAACCTGACAGGTTGCAGACAGCATTTTACTGATCTGCTGTGGCACTGTGAAAGACATTACACAGCGTTTCTCCTGAGGCTATTACATTATTAAATGGATCCTGAGAAGGAGACAGAAAGGAATTTGGGAATATTTGTCAAAATGATTTTTTAAATCTGCTTACTGAAGATGTGTCAGCATAATTTTTTTTAAATCTCTGCTTACTTTAGACATGTATTTTGTTTAAATAAAAAATAAAATGAAACTAAATAAAAGACAATAGAGGGGCTCCTTCAGGTAATTTCCTTGGGGCATCTGAAATATCTGTAATGTTTGCTTTAAACAAGTAATATTTCAACAGAAAAAAACCCAAAAAACAGAACAAAACAAAACAAAACCAAAACAAACCCAAAAAACCAAAAAGAAACAAAAAAAAACCACTCCATTAAAAAACCTAAACAGGCAAAAAACCAAACCAAAAAAACAGAAAGAAAAAGATTCTTTTAAAAGACTGAAAATTTTAGATGAAAATTGGATCATAAGGTGTATTGTGGAGCTGACAATATTTGTGCTGTGTGTCAGCAGGATTGGGAAGTGGAAGGGCTGTGGGAGTGGGGTCAGTGCTGGCTGCAGAATCCCAGCTGCACCTGCAGCAGAGGTGGCCCCAGCTCAGCAGAGAAATGAGCCCTGGCACACAGGGAAGGGCAGGATTCCCTGGCACACTCCCGGATATTTGTTAGCACGTCCCAACAGGCTCAGCCTGCAGTGAATCCAGCAGTCCAGCCTGGGTCCAGCTGAGCCCCAGGTGCCCAAAGCCCTTTTATCCAGGATAGGGAATTGTGCGCTGTGTTCATGGAGTGCAGGGGTGGCCCCGCTTTGTTCCGCCTGGTTTGAGCTGGTGTTTCACCCCTGGGTGTGGGGCTGGAGCTGCAGGTGCCCCTGCCTTCCCCAGCAGTGCCCTGGTGCTCTGATGCTGTGCCACACCCTGGGCTGTGCTCCACGCACAGTGTCTGTGTGGAGCATGGAGTGGCTGGGGCTGGGAGGGACCCTACAGATCACCTGTGCCACCCTGCCATGGCAGGGACACCTGCCACTGTGCCAGGCTGCTCCAAGCCCTGTCCAGCTGATGTGCTCCTGCCAAAGGCGCACATAAAAAAATCACATTGTCCTTCCCACGGTTCCTGAGCATTTGTATTTTAAAACTCATCAGTTTCAATGGATCCAGATCCCCCCTTCTGGTTTTTCTTCCCATAGCAGAAAAAAACCCTGAACTGATGCCTTGGGAAGGCTGCCCTAGAACAGAGACCAGATGCAGCTAAAGAATAAAGCAGGGATTTATGAAAAGGATCTCCTCCATGGATGCACCTTGGGCAGCACCAGAGCCCAGCAGCCTGTCCTCCCTCCCAGGCAGGAATTCCTTGTAAAAAGTCCCTCTCCATGTTTCCTGCAGCCCCTGCAGGCCCTGCAAGGCCACAGCTCAGTCACCCCAAAGCTTCTCCTGTGCAGGTGAGCAATGCCAGCTGTGCCAGCCTTTCCTCCCAGCAGAGCTGAGCTCCCTCTGTGAGCAGGGGTCAGTGCTGCTGTTCAGGAGCTGCTTCCCTCCCTTGCCCAGTGCTTTTCTAGAGGCTCTTAACAGGATTTTGCCCTGCCTGTGGATTTCCCACGTGCCACTGACACCCTTGCTCGTGTTTGCCATTGAGGGAGGGCATGCCAGTTTAAGGGACATTATTGCCAGCTTAAGGGACACGACTGCCACTCCAGGGAGGGTTTGTATGCTTATTTACTGTCCTGGTGCCACTTGCAAAGAAACTCCTGTTGCCATGACAATTTGCAAAGCCCATGTTGGTGGGAGCAGCCTGGGGAGCACTGAGGGCTGGAGACACGAGGGCTGTGTCTGTCTGTCCCTCACTCTGGGCTATGTCTGTCTGTCCCTCACACTGAGCTGTGTCTGTCTGTCCCTCACAAGTGGGGCTGGAATTCCTTTTGGGAATGCTTTAAGGAGCCAGTTCCTCCTCAGGCTCAGGGAGACTTTCACTGACAAGTTCTTGTTCTTCAGTTGGATTTTAAACACCTTTTAGTAGAAAAAAATGTGCCTTAACAGAGATGGTGAACACCAAGGCAGGTAACTGAACTGTAGTGTTCATTGGTCTTAGAGAATTATTTTTGTGTTGGAAAAAACTGTCATTCCACCAAAATTCAAACAGGTTGTTGAGAATAATAAATTCAATACTTGAAGAAAGCTTTCAGACTAATGGGTGCCATCTTTAGTCCCTTCTCAAGAAACAGAGGAAGCTTAGTTCTTCAGACTTAAAAGTAGGATTTGGCACAACTAGTTTTATTTTAAAAATAGCTTTTTTTTCAGCTTTAGTGCAACTTTTAATTGTAATAGAATGGATTTAGAGGCATTCTCCATTTTATGGAAATGCAGAATTCAGTGTTCAAACCCACAGAAATCAGGAGATCGTCCCCCACTCCATAAACCTCTTGCCAGTTGGTTCTGGAGCTTTCTTCCAAGGAGCACAACTGAAACTACCTGGAGATTCGTGCTTCCAGCTTCCATGTTTACTCATTTCAGTGGATTTACTCCCTAATGCCAAAGCATAAATCACGTGGACCAGCAGAATTTGTTTTCCTCTTCAGTTGCTGGCCTGTTTCAATAATATTTCAGGGAGGGTGCTGGGTCTACATGAGGAGACAGGCATTTGAGCCCCACAGCCAGCTATGTTTACAGGGGATTAAATAAATGAAATTTCTCTTCAAGGCTCACTTCAGTTTGAAGTTCTGGACTCTTTTGTCTTTGTGCAATTTGCATTCCATGGTGGGTTAAAGCTTTGTGAGCAGCTATTCATCTTTGCAGCTCCCCTCAGCTTCCAAGGGCTTTGGTCTCCATTTCATTTTTATATTCTATCTCTCCAGCAGACCCAATCCTCTCACTCTGAAAATGCCATTTTTTGTCATGCTTACAGCTCATTCCAATCACTTTGTGTTGCATCAGTGGAAGCTGCAACAGTCTGGAGCTCTGTTTAAGCCTCAGAAGTGTTTTCCTTCATCAACAAAAAGGTCTCAATAATCTTCATGCTCAAATTGGCTTGAAATAGATCCCTCTGCCCTAATCTGGGAGATACAGGTGCTGTTTATAGCTGAAATGAGGGATCTTTGCTGAGCTATAACTCACACAAAAGCAGTGCTGCAGGAAGTTAATGGGATTGTTATGGGATTTGTGTGCAAGCCTGACTCAGAATAGGGTTCTGCTTGTCCCTGGACAGATTTAAGGTGATTGTAATTGCGTGTGCTGCTCACTGAGCCGTTCCGGGCAAAACACTTGGGTCTTTGTGAGAGGATTTTGCAAACATTGGTGCCTGGGAGAAGTTTAGGGAGGGGCAGATGTAGCAGTTTGATGGGTCAGGAAGTACCAGTATGGATAATTGTATGGGAAATCACATCAATTTAACCCTTGTTAAAAAGGGGAGGAAAATAAGAATAAAGCTTTATTTTTTATTGCATGTTTGTATGCTAAAAATTGGCCAAGTTG